GAAAAAGAGAAATGGTTTTCACAATAATATTGATGTGGTGAGTCTATGCCATGGTAAGTAAATTAAGTCAGTGACAGTGGGTCCGAGGGATTGCAGGCGCCGAAATTTAGAAAAAGTTGCGGACTTCATAAAAGACTAATTTAGCAATATCTCTATAAGTAATCACTTTCTTTTGTGCTATGCAATACGAACATTATCCCTCTCTCCCTAATAACAAATGATAGGCCTATAAGAATAATTTTCATTAATAATAACAATAATAAAAATAATAATAATAATAATAATAATAATAATAATAATAATAATAATAATAATAATAATAATAATAATAATAATAATAATAATAATAATAATAATAATGGGATGTACTGGGTTCTTTATAGTGCACAAGAGCAGTTGTGTACACTGGGCCTATGGTTTATAGTCCTTATCGGAGATGAATTGTTCTACCACCGGAACCATAAATAAATGTAACAATGAATAAACATACAGAAATGGTTTACGAGGATGTGACATTTGTGTATTTATCTATTAATGTATCACATACTAATTTGAGTAAGTACAAAACGGTTTAAAATGATGGGTTATCTGTATCTTATATTAACCATTCCCGAGTCTTTCGTCAAACATCCTTTCTGTGTCTTAGAAAAATAACTTGCACAACATATTGTTTTTTTCCCTCTGGAGCCTGGCTTTAACCGAGTTGCCCTGTTCCAATTGCATTTTCCTGCTCAGCAAAAAGCTCTTGGTTTTTCACTTGGGAGAAACTTGCTGCGTGTCTTGGGTAACTTGACTAAAGTTAAATGTTAAACAGGTTTACGCACCTTTACACTGGCAGGTGTTGCAGCCATTTTCGTCAGTGACATATCCATGTTTACAATAGATAAGGCACATTACGTCTGAGCAAAGTGGTTCCTCTAAAGTAACATGTAAAAACTATCTCAGTAGGCCTGTAAAATCATTCTTTTACAATAAATAAAGCTGGACATCATCAGCAGCACTATTATCGTCATCATCGTCATCATCAACATCATCATCATCATCAATAGCAACAACATTAACGTTTTCATTGTCATCAATATTGACAGTAACGTCAGCGTTATTGTCAACAACATTGTCGTCATCATCATTTTCATCATCATGATCCTCACCACCATCACAGGAGAACAGTGATGGTTATAAGTCTGGTTTGATTTCTATAATTATAATTAATGTACACATGTACAGGCCTCGATGTGCCCAAAGGCTTAACACATTTTGGAAGAAAGTTCTCACGTGTATTTTAGCCCAAGAACTGAGCAATAGAATGTAACTAGTAACAAGCAAGGGTTTACTTTAATCAATGATACAACAGTTCAACCTACTAAGGTTTTCTACTGAATTGATTATAGTGAATACATAATATTGAGGCAACTAGATGATATCTGTGAAATTAAAATAATTGCTAAGTAAAGAGTATCCCATTCACTAATGAATCTTTTATTGGCTACCCTCTGGTAAAAGGTTAAAATCACAAACCAATAGAGCAAAGACATATCTCAACTCATTCGTACCACTATCCATTAGAATTTTTAATCAAAATAATATCAAATAAGTTTTAGGGCCTAATTATAATATTGTTGTTTGTAGTTTTGTATTAATCTTGCATTCTGTTTTGCGATGTGATGTTCCAACTGATTTTTCCGAAATGACACATATAATGAAATCTTGAATCTTAACTTATAGGCCTACATTAAAGAAAAAACTAAAAAGTAATTGTTAACTACATGAAATTGAAAAGAATTGAATAACTTAACTTACCATTACATTCACAAATTTCACATCCATTTTCATCCTTTTGAAATCCAAATTTACAATACATTTTACATTTAGGTATTGGACATTCCTCGACTGCTTCATTTACTGTAAGTTAAGATAATAAATAACATAATTAAATATATATATATATACATATATACATATATATATATTAACTGTAAGTTAATATAACATAATTAAATATATATATACATATATATGTACATATATATGTATATATATGTAAATATATATATATATATGTATGTACATATATGTACATATATACTGTTGCGTAGCACTGTAAACACTAAACAAATGGATAAATAAAGATGTTGATGTACCAACTGATTTTCCGAAAGGACACAAATAAAGAATCTTGAATCTTAAACAGCGATTATGAACAAATTACAGGTATTTCTTCAAACACCTCCTTAGTGTTTTATTTTTACAACATATCAACTTTCTATCTTTAGAACCAGGCTTTGAATATATTGTATCTTCAAGTGATATACAAATAATTTTAGCTGACGGTTGTTTGATCTGTCGTGAATCTGATCAGTCGTGAAGCCTCTGTGTCTAATGGTTATAATGCTCGCCTTTACAGTGAGAGGTCTGTGTTCGAATTCCGTCAGAGGTACGTTACACGATGTGCCATCATGTCCTTATTCAAACACTCTATTTACCTTTCTTTTATGAATATTTATATATAATATATATATATATATAATAATGATAATAATTAATAATAATTAGGATATCCATTAAAACTGTTAAATTATATATAAATATTCATCAAAAGAAAGGTAAATACAGTGTTCGAATAAGAACATGATGGTACATCGTGTAACATAGCTCTCAACGAATGTTGTCCTGTAAATAAACACATTGCGTATTAACATACCTACGGGATTCGAACATAGACCTCTCGCTGTCAAGGCGAGCATCATAACCATTAGACCACAGAGGCTTCATGGCTGATCAGATTCAAACAACCGTCAGCTAAAATTATTTGTATCTCACTTGAAGATACAATATATTCAAAGCCTGGTTCTAAAGATAGAAAGTTGATATGTTGTAAAAATAAAACACTAAGGAGGTGTTTGAAGAAATACCTGTAATTTGTTCATAATCGCTGTTTAAGATTCAAGATTCTTTATTTGTGTCCTTTCGGAAAATCAGTTGGTACATCAAATCGCGAAACAAAATGCAGTAGTCAGTATAAATAATAAATAGCTAAGTGGAGAAAATAAATTATAATTAGGCCATAAAACTTATTTGATATTTTGATTAAGCATTCTAATGGAAAGTGGTACGAATGAATTAAGATATCTATTTGTTCTACAGATTTGTGATTTTAACCTTTTACCCGAGGATAGCCAAGTAAAAGATGCATTTAGTGGGTGGGAACTATCTATTAAAATACTCTTTACTTTATCAATAATTTTAATCTCACAGACATCATCTAGTTGTCTATTTTGTTGTAGAATTTTTCCAGCCTGATTTATGATATGTTGTAGTCTGTTATAATTGTGTTTCCTTAAATTACCAAACCTTACATAACTTCCAAACAAAAGAGCACTTTCAATAAAAGAAGAATAAAAAAGGCTCATTATACATGTATCAACATTGAATGACCGCAATTTCCTTAAGAAATGGAGTCGCGCCATACCCTTTTTAACAATTTATCACACTGCTCTCCCCCCCCCCCCCCCCCCCCCCCCCTACACAAACTGCTCTCCCCCCTCCCCCCCCCCACAATTAACTTATTAACAATCTCACTAATATTTTACAAAAGAGAAAGGAAATATTTATTTGAATTGATTTCGCGAAACGCAGGCGGTTGGAACTTGTGTACCAAACAAGTTTCCCTTCATGTATTTAAATAACCTCTGTATGTTGACTCTCAGTGGCACAGTCGACCCACTTCCTCGTTCATAAATTGGCGTACAAATCAAGTCTGCAAACAATTATTTCAGCGGCAGGAAAACAGTTTCCAATCAAGTTGTTTGACATGTCCTTTCTGACAGCAAAAGAGGAAAAGTGACAAGGTGAATTGTGTCGCTCGGAGTTCCCTTTCCCCTATTTTTAAATATTTTACGCCAATTTAAAATAAATAAAGTCGGCCTACTTTATTGCTGATAAAGTCAGCGTAGAAAGAAAGGGTCGGAATAAAAATAGGGGTACTGTACAATGTACAGGCGGAAATCGGTGTCCAGATACAATTTTAATTCCAATTTAATTTGCAATTTTTGGAGCGTCAACATATCTAGAAAATACTAACAATTCTTTACAGATCTATGGACTATAATTAGGCTATATATCATAACATTATCATAACATTATGATAACACGACCCACCAAAACTTACCCACTACCAACATTTTTTATTCATATGACCCACCAGCATCTTCGGGTGGCAACCTTTACTTTCCAGACCGCTGATGTAAAGAAAAAAATTTTTGTAAAGAGGAAAATTTAAATATTTATTTTATAATTTTACCCATAATATTCAAATTAAAATATAATCTAACGTATTTTTTTTTTTTTAATTTTGGGAATTTAGAGGAGCCATATCAAAACAATTGTTCAGATCAGCTCCAACAATGATTGAGTTGAGACCCTCCAGCGAATAACACCAAATCTCAAATATGTACTTCAGGACTGCAATGTTTTGAGTGATAAATAGAACTTGAAATAGGTTTAACTACGTTAGCATTGTAAGGATATTAGCCCTATTATTCAAATTTACAATGATTATTGATTTGATATTATATTTACATAATATATTTTAAAATTGTTTATCCTTTTCAATGAAGATTATTATTATTTCACCCAGTGGAAGGCCTTTAGCTACAGCATTAAAATACTAAAATTTAATTTGCACAGTTTACTTGGGCGCCTTGACCTTAAATCATTTTAAGATTCCATTCAATAACCCTCAGACATGAATTGGTAAACTCGTTAGGTTTTTCGAGTTTTTGTTTTGTTATCACAATAAGCTTAGTTTATAATACATATTCAACAGACTCAGTCATATGTGATCCATAACAATGATGTTAAGTAGTGCGTAAAATCATGTGATTTCATAATTGTAAACGATGAATTGGTAAAAAATGTGTACACTTAAGCTTTAATGTGTTGTGACTACGCATCATAAGGCATTGTTGTAGTGTGCTCACACATTGTAGGAAAGGGTAAGTAACCATTCACTCTAGTTACAGACACAGTATTCAGCATTATAAAATTTTCATAATTTTATAATGTATATAGGCTTACCTTATGGAAGGCCTAAAGGAAGTAGTTGTGCATTGATCGGACGACTAACATTCAGCATGAAGCTACAGTAGTTGATATCATAGACAGTGTTAAATTGATATTTTGTTGCTAAAACTTGTCCGTAAGCCACTACTATACTGTATTGATGCATAAAAGATAATACTGTGCATAATATTATAAATAGGCCCTCTTTTTTAGCTTTTATGTCAGGTCCCCATATTAGACGGGCTAATGCACAATGAATGAGCCTAGCGATCAACAATTCTCTCTACATTTTCCAAAATGGAGAACCGCTCATCCGGCCTACCAAAGACATACAAAATTCGTATACTTCCTGGCTGTTTTCACTCTCACTTATCACCTTATCAGTCTTGCTATAGTAGTTGAAGGCCTAATGTAAAGATATTGGTCATCCTTTTGATCTTGAGAAGGGAATATTGTTATACATGGTAAAAGTTCACAATAGTCTTTCGTATTTGTTGCTGTACAGTGAGAAAGATGGTAAAATTAAATCGATAAGTAACTCATATTTTTTTTCATTTGTTTGTATCAAAAATATTTTTTCAGCCATGTTGCAATAATATTTATCTGGAAAATTATTTTTACTATATTTTTATAAGCTAAAATGGAAGAGGAATTTCCTGATAGTATGTACCTCCCACGAGGTCTCATTGTGAAGGGCTCAGGTACAAATAAAAAGAAACTTGGTAAGTATCATTATTCTGTTACCATCAATAACCACTGACTCAGCTACGAATGTGGAGGTGCCACCTTCACAAGGTCGCGAACACCACCTATTTTATCCATCTTCGTCACACAAACATTTTTTTTTTGTCTTTTTTGTCTGTCTTGGAGACTCTACCAAAGACAAATCCAGCTAGCTTGAATAAATTGTCTGACTTTTTTAGTCTTTGTACATGCTGACTTGCAGTAAAATGCCTACATTGTTCAATTGTTCAGTTCTTTGAAGTACATTTGTATAATTTTCTTGATCTACTATTTGCTGACAGGAATCTATTCAAATATCACCATTAAAGCTGGCGTTAAATATGGTCCATTCAAGGGAGAGAAGAAAAACATATCCGAAGTTCTTGACGACAGTTTTGCTTGGATGGTACGTAAAACCGTTGATAACAATAAAAGTACTAATATTAAATACTATCAATAGTATATTTATATTATAATGGTTGAAATGCACATTTGCTGTTATGTTATAGAAAACTAAAATTACTATGTTGGTAATGTTAAAACTGATAAATTTCTTATTTATTTATAGATAAGGAATTTTTCCGGAAGACCACAATTTTTTGTTGACGCTGCAAATATTGAGAGCGCAAACTGGATGAGGTTTGTCAAATGTAGTCCTACAGTATTCCAGCACAATCTCGTTATAATACAGCGACGGAAGAAGATCTTCTTTAAAGTAACAAAGGTAATTGTTATATTTTTTTTATTTTATAATAATGTAGAAGGTTAATACATTTTGGTTTTTTAAAGTATTTTCATTCAGTTTAATCGGTGATCTGTCTACTCATTTATTTTAAAATAAAAAACAGTTATATCTGTCGTACTATTAATAAATTTAATGGAAAATCTTTTTTGTTTAAATGGTAATTTATATTCAGGACATAAATGTTGGTGACGAACTTTTAATCGGTTTTCAATTATCACGTGACGGTTGTGATGGTCTTACTGAACACGACGTGATCAATAACGAACTATGGATCTCTAAGAAAGACATTGGGCCTACACCCTTTATCGACGTCAATGAAGACAAGCTCTCTAGTGTAGTAAATAGAGACAATCACTTCAAAGACGTCAATATTGATACAGAGAGGAACGTGTTTGATGAGATGAGCAGTGCAACTGAGCAAGTTATCCCGGGAACGGGAATCAGGGTCACGTGGCCATCAGGAACCACTCAAATTGGAGAACCACTCAGCAAAATGTTCAAATCTTACGTCAGACTGCTACCATTGGGTAATATTCCAAATTTAAATTTAAATTGTTATATGACAATTTAGTGGCAAGCATATTGTGTTATTATCACAATCTTTTTACCATAACTAATACAATGTCACTAGGTCTATAAAATTTATTTTATAATTTATTTGCATATTTAATATTTACCTACAATCTATAATTTTGTTATTACTATTTCTAGATATTCCCGAGAAAACAATATTGGAATATCAACAGAAAGTCGGCGCATGTGGACAAGTTTGCCCACAGGAACATAATCACGTGATTGACAATGATGCTAAAATACCTAATACAATAACATCTGAATCCTGTTTTTATGGCGGCAATAAAGATCTATTCATAAGAAACTACAGTGTAGTGTACGAAACAGGAGAGAGTTTACATGCAAAACAAGACAATTGTCACTCAAACGTGCTTGATCATGACATTCTAAAAGAGATTGGAGATGGTGTGCCATATACTGAAAGAGTTTTGAAAATATCTGAACACGACCTTAACAAGTGTGCTAAAAGTTACACAGAATCACTTAAAAGTAATAGCAGTTATCAAAAAGGGGCCGCAGAAGGAGTGTGTAATACTGAGTCCAATGTGATATTTTCAACTGATATGAACCGAGGAATAGTTAACATGAATGATTATAATATTGAGAAGAGCCAGGGTTTTCTCAATGAAAGTAATAAAAATGAGAAAGAAGCACGATTTTCTTCAACAAATGGCACGGGAAATACAAAAATAAATCAACTCAATAAAGATAGGTCTATAAGCACAGACGATTCATATTTTCCATACAGAGAAATAAGTGATCAATCAGACATAAATAACGAGGAATTAATGGAGGTGATGGATCCTATTGAAAATAGGCCTATATTGAAGAAAACAGTGAAACGACATGAAACTGATGAATCATCATCTGTACAGGAACCCAACGCAGCTGACAGAAGCAGAATCAATGTAGCTAAGAAGTGTGAACTTGAACCTAGAATAGTTGAACTACATGAAAATAATAGCAATGAAGTTGGGCTTGCAATAAAAAGAGCAAGAACTGGAGATATTGCTTCGAACAAGTACGAACAAGAAGTTAACCAAGTTGAAGTAACTGAAAATATTGATAGACTAATATTAGAGGGGGAAGTTAAAACAACTGGGTCAAGCAAAGATATTGAGGAGGAAAAAACAGATAATACGCTTAGAAAAAATAAAAGAGTCAGTTTTGAAAATATATTTGCGAATTTTCCAGGCATACAGAATGGATTAGAAGTTGTTATTCAAAAACATAATCCGATTGAATCAAATGAAGACTTGCAACTTTCCGACGCTTCAGATTTGGAACCACCTTCTAATGAGCCACAAAATTTGAAACGACTTCAGAATTCAGATGCAAATGAATTGAGGAAATATTTAAAGCAAGAAAATAGTAGGCCTAAAGACACACTTGCTGCAGTGAAGCTGCCTTTTCCCGGATCAGAGAGATCAATACACCCGGGTTCAGATCGAAGAATGCCGATTCCAACATTCAACAAAAACAACGAGAGGAAAAAATTCAAATGTTGGGCATGCAATATTGACTTCACTTCATATGATGCTTATTTTGATCATGTCATGGTTGACTGCAAAAAACGAACGCACAGACAGACAGAAACACGGTTAGAAAGCAGCAAGCCAAGTCTAAACCAACAAACTGAAAACCTTCAAACCAATTTAACGGTCAACAAAACAGACCTAGGCTACAATACTCCTCTTACTGGTTCTAGTTGTTCTCGGGTAGCCCCTGAAATGGATCCTGACTCAATGCAATTTTCAGGTACGCTTAGGCAGCTTGCGTTCTTAGCAAAACTAACGCGTGACCGCGTAGACATAATGCAAAACAGTAGACCTATATTACCACCAAGCAGATGTATTGCAGATCCTTCTACTTTATTGAATTTTCAACCGCGTTCTCCTACAATTAATTCATTAAATCTTTCATTAGGAAATAAATACCCTGTGTTTTCTAAAGAACGTAATACGTTTGGCGGGGCGTTGGATTATAGTGACATAAACCAGAAAAATGAATCTCCATTGACCAACAATACCCGTAAACGAAACTACCAAGGTGGTCTGAAACTATTGCCGCGTGGGTTGCAACTGAAGGCCGGAATTTGTCAACCGGCTCCCTTCATTCAGCATAACATATCGCCCACTATATCAGAAAACAATCACACAGTTACTGACGTGACAGATGCACGTGGTGGACCGCGTCAATGTATATCACCATCTTCACCTGTAGGCCAACAATCGACGTCCTTCAGACATGTTTATAGCGCCTCCTACAACACGGGTCACCAATTTATGGCAAATACTACGAAAAGTCATAATAGCAGTCAAATCAAAGTCCGGTGCCATCAAGAACAATGGTTGCCGAATCAGGGTAGGCCTACTTTGTATAGAGCATGTAATGAACAACCAATTCTAAAACTGCTTCCTCCAAAGAGAATGCCTTTCTTGATGCGCCATGTAAGCGTAAACCAACCTATGCCATGTAGCCTGGATCCGGAGCGGTGGAAAAAACATTCCAGGGGATACAAATCTGTATTAAAAACCACTAAATAAATTTAGTTTAAATGTTACGTAAAGCCTCTTAAGCATTTATTTATTCCCTCCGCAAAGGAGGTTATGTATTCACTGCTGTCTGTCTTTCTGTCGAGCAAGATTACGGAAAAAATTAATGAATGGATCATTATAAAATTTAGTAGAATAGTACATAATAATTGAAGAGAGACACCTTTCAATTTTCACCAGGAAAAGTCAAAGGACAAGGTCAAGGTCACAGAAGATTTGTTTACCCTCGAGCATTAAAGAAAATAATAGGAATCGCCCCACGCATTCAGGCAGAGATGTGCCTGAATTGGCGGCGATTCCATTATATTCTTGAGGGTAGGCGCCACAAATCAATCATTAAAATTAATACAAGTTTGTTGGATGTGATGCAAGTTTCATGTATATAGTTAAATGTATGTACCGAAGTTTATTTAATTTAACTTGCTTAAGAATATAGCGTTTCTTGATTTAAATGTTATTTTCATTGTTGTTATAATGTGATTGTGAATTCGTGGTTGCAGATAATTGCCCTCGATGACAAGTAGCATTACATAATTAAATCGTGAATCTTGAAGTCGAATTGATTTAAACTATTTAAACGATAATTTATATAATAATTAACTAATACGAACGCCGTTAATATTGTTAGTTATAAACTGATTAGTTATATGGCCTACACCTACTCTTTTTTAGTTGAGTTTATTTGCAATGAAATATTTCTAATCTATTACTATAGTAAACTATGTGGTAGTTAATATATAATATAATTTTATTACCAAAAATGAATGCAAAGGACGACCTGAGAGTCGAGCCAAATGTGATAATAATGAGCAAGGTAATGTATAAATTTTGGGTGGGTGATGTAAACGTCATTGTCACGGTTAAGACGATCGTCTCTATAAGCTAAACACTATAATTTACGGCTAAATAACGGAAGCAATTAAGCATCATCATCATTAGTTAAGGACCAAATTTTGTGTCGTTTTACCGTCCAGACGCTTGTACAGACCTTAAAGAAATATATTGTAACACCATTGTTTTAGATGTCTTACAATTATTGGCATATATTGAGTTTCTATTTATGTCCATTGGAATATGGTAAAAATAATTTTACACTTGTCATGCTGCAAAGCAACACATATGAGAATTCACTATTCAAATTATGTCAACACAATTCAGTGGAAGGAGAAGATATTCTGTATAGGTAAGTGGAACGTACTACGGCTAATACAAAGGCGTACGTTCAGTAATAAATCAATACGTGATAGATAATTAATGTCTACATAATTGTCACAACAAACATGTACCATATAATCCAGATTTTACTATATACTTTATCATTATCTTACCTGCTTTTCTCAATGTTATAAACGAATTAAGTTAAAATGTTCATTGTACAGTACATAAGTTTATTATTCTACTTTGTTAATATTTAATTATAATTATTATAGGCTTACCTGTAAGATTAATTGACAGTACTGAAATGGATTGTAGTTATAGGAAAATTTATATTATTCATTATAGTGCCACCTGCGATATGGGAGTTGAATAGCTATATTCTACCCTATATGTGACGACAAACAGTCGGGAAGAAGCCCACCGTGTTGGAATATATTCATGAGTGGAGATTGTAACACTAAGATGGATACACTTCTTGGAGACTGGCAAATTTATAAACAATCTTTATGTCTCGTATTAAAAATGGCATAAAAACTGAGAATTTATTTTATAAATTGTAAAACCTAATTAATTAGAACATGAACATTTATTTGGAGACTCTAAAAAAGTATAAACGAAATTGTATCTTAAACCTACTCTAGAATAGCAAAAAAAAAAAAAAAAAAAAAGAAAAAAAAAAGAAAAAGAAAAAAGTTATTACAAACTTAGACTAGGCCTAATGAGTAACATTTTTATACATGTAAATGTTCAAGAGTTTTAAGAATCGTTATTAATTTCACGTCTTGTACATTGCCTTGTAATTGTTTATTTAATTTGTTTTAAATATTTTCTTTTCATGAACGCACCGTCACTATGCCACGATTTACGTGTGCCGCGGATGGAAAGGCGTAGTTTTTTCAAATAAAAAATATTATAGAAGACTTATTCGAATTACATACTTTTTATTCTCTTATTTTAACTTGCTTTGCATTTTATAATTATTTGTGTAGTACTCCATTATGCCTCATCGTTTAAAAAAAAAGTCCACTTTTGGTGTAACAATTTGGGGGCTCGTCCGGGAGCGGACAGTGTCGAATAAAATGTTATTCGACACAATAATTATACATGCAGAGAATTAAAGTGTTAACATTGTAAATATACAAACATAAAGACATACTTTATAAAGTTGTTCCTATCGGTTAAATTTGCACCAATAAGGCATCTCACTTTATCAAGTAGGAAAGTTAATCGAGAAAGGGAAGGAGTTCGGATTATATTGAAAAGAATTAAGAGTTTGTAGAAATGTTCAGAGAGTAGAGCACTTAAAGCAGAGATGAACCAAGAGGAAAAGAGTAGGAAAAAGACTAGAACTAAAGGTTGAATTCGATAAAAAGCGTGCTGATGCTGAGAGAGATATGAGAAGACGCAGAAAATGATAAAATATTGTAATTGCTCTTACAACTTCAGCAAGCCAAGGCTGCACATCAAGCCGCTAATTATATATATTTTTCTAGTTCTAAGGGTAAAAACCCTAAGTTATCACCCTTAATCCCGAAAAAGATGGTATTGATGCTTAAATAAGTAGGTTTGAACGTTGCTCGGCAGTATGCGTTTAAAAACAGCCACTCAACTTAAACGTGTATTTCTATCCTTAAACAGACAATCGAATTTTATAATATAGCAGCCCAATCTATTGTTTTAGATGCCTCCAAAAGCATTCGATTGTATAAATCATTGGACGCCGTACTGGTACGTCAAGAAATTGATTAGGCCTAGGAGGGGAATTACCATATGTGGTGTTAGTAATAACCTATATTGTGCCTCTCTGTGGGCAAATTTTAATGCAAAATCTATGGAAGCATTAAAGGTGTGCTTCAACAATACCACAGACTCTATAGGGTCTGTGACAATACGTTGCGCTCGCAACTCCTTAATAAACTTTAGATCAAGCCGTGTCAGTGCCATGTTTGTTGAAACAATTTTTGCTCGTTTTTTGAACTACAACGTAAGGTAGCATACGGCATGCTGTTTAGATTGGGGAGGAGTGACAACGTAATTACAACGTAATTACGAAATGAATTTGCCTTTCCATCATGCACTCCATTGTAGATGGATGAAGTCATTTAACGATTTACTGTAGTTTCTAACCTATGTAATTAATTTGAGTTATGTAGAATATTATTAATTATATGTAAATGAAAATGAAATAAATGAAATGAAATGCTACCCAGGGTTGGAAAAGGGACAAGGGGCCGGATTTATCAAACTAGAAATCAGCTTAAATTCATCTTTTAAGTCCATTTTTTTTTTGCTTAATTCAAATTTATCAATATTGATTATGTATGAACCATCTAAGATTTTGCTAAGATGGTTTGGTAAATCAGCTCAAGATATTTGCTTAGGGACATCCAAACTTTTTTGACTTGATAAATCACGGGCCAGGAATGGGCAACTAATCTAGGTGCTTTACAGCCGCCCATAGTTACTTAGAGACAATTCGAAGAAAAAATAACGCCCGAGGCGTTTATTCCTAATGACCATTTTGTTGGGGGGGGGGGCATTTATTCGAGGGAGAGTTTGTTCAACGCAGGGCGTTTATTTGAATTAATACTGAGAAATTTAATTATAAATTAAAACAATCCATGATGAATCAGAGGATGTTAGTCCATAAATTACTCATTAGGCCCTATTAGTCTTTTATGCATTTTAAATTATGACGTTTACTTTTTCAATTGTGTTTGCTTTTATGTTTTTTAATTGTCTTTGCTAGTTAAGTTTTTTTTTTCTGAAAAATAAATTAAGTTCCTCCCTGCATGCATGGGGCGAATGGGCAGTGTGAGTGAAATGAATATTACATAGCCTAGTCATTCATTATAGGCCTATTTGAAGTCACGTCTGGATAGCTGGACATCATCTTTTTAACATCAAAATAATTATGTTAAAAGTAGTTAATTCAGTATTGTAATTGTTTTTATAAATTGTACAAGTGCTATTAGCGTGGACTTTTGTGTACTTCGCATGACTCGCACTGTTGGTACACGTCCCGCATGAATTACCGTTATGACTCGCATGAATTGCATACCTCGCAGGATGACTCGCTGATTCGCACTTTGGTAGCCCTCGCATTGATGCAACAGGACTTCATGCAGCTCTGACTAAAAGAGCATTCTGTCTTTTGTGGTTCTCATGCTTAGTCTACACAGGTTGTCCACTACCAATTTCAGTCATAGGCCTATGTCATCCTTACAGAAGACTATTATACCGGTAAGTGATTACACTGTAGACCTACAGACCTTTTTGGTCTATACTAAAGCAAAAAAAAAAATTACAGTACAAGAAATTGCTTCGTCATATTACATTGAATAATAAAAATTAAATTCAAAATTTACGAGAGTAGATGACATATCGCTCCAGCGAAATTTATTGACTACAATTACACTCAATAACCTAGGCCCTACAACACGCTGACGTATCAAGATGCAATCATATTTCACACAGGCAGAAACACGGTTCGCAAGGTGGACTACACACAATTCCATTCGCTCTAGACACGACTCATTCCGGCCGGCCGCCGTCACCTTCCAGATTATCTGGTAATTGATTATTCATGATATTTAAATATAATGTTCCTCGTGGCTGCTAGATTTATTCTTTACCGATCTACACTAAGTCTTGGTTGCGAAGTAGGCCTACATCCAGAAACCTGTGTTGACTCGATCCACTGTATGAGTCATGCATAATTTCTGATGATGAAATAATTATGCTGATGAATATTTAAAGAATGTTCCTCGTGGCTGCTAGAATTAGTCTTTAGATATTAATCTGGAAAAGATCAAAGATGCATTAATGAAAATAAAAGGGCGCCGAGTACGTCTGGACATCATAAAAGATAGCCTATGACGTAATGGACTTTTTCGGTGAATTGTCTATATGAATTCATAGATTACGGTATGTTAAACTGATTATTGATTTATGGAATAATTAGCATGTGTTTTACTTCTTTACAGAATAGATCTGAGGAACGATTATATGATAATTTTTCATTGTTTGTTAAGGTAATAATAATGAATATGCCTGTGATTGTAAACCAATCTCTGAAATTACCGTACTCGCGCGAATAAGCGCCCGGGCGCTTAAAATATTGTTTGCACTTTCTGAGGGGCGCTTATTTAAACGGGTCGCTTATGAAAACAGAGTGGAAATTATAGAAATAGATGAAAATCGGGGGGTTCTTATGGGAAATTATTAAATTCAAGAGGCACTTTTTGAATGAAAAAAGATTATATAAGGACATTACGAAAAAAGATAATCGTCCAGAGAACATGGCTCATGACAAGAATGCGTGAATATTTACATAACAGCAAAATAGCAGATGCAATTAGTGGTGGTGGGTTTGCTTGTTGGCCATCGGCCTATTGAGATTAGCAGGATGGCAGGATCATTGTATTTTTTCTTGAAAACTCAGATGAGAATGTGCTAAAGGTCGGAAAAATAAAAAGAGGATTAGGACTAGGCATAGGCCTAGACAAATATGTAAAAAGAGTAAAGTTGGAAATATACTGTCTGTCCAGGGATCGGAGCTCTCATCTGTCCAAGAGAAATATCCTCATTTTGATATTGACCGATGAAGTGTGTTTCCACTCTACAGCTCAAATCATAACAACGACAATCCCAGGATTGATTGGATTATTGACTTGCTTATTCATATTCGAGAGGGGCGCTTATTCAAACGTGAGTACGGTATGTGGTTGATAAACGGTAAAATATAAGATACAGTACATTATCATTAGTATGTTGTTGAAGTATAGTAAATGTTAATATATGACTGATAGTTATTGACTGCTGCAATTTGTTATACTAGTTATTATGTTGTTATTTAGGAAGTGACTGATGAGTCTGCAATTCCAAGTCTGGAAACTGCCAATGTATTGTTTCTCCCGGCAATAAGTTGATACAATCAATAAATGACTAATAAGTGTATAGTAATAAAATAGTTAATAAATGGTAATTTAGGCCTACGTTTGGTTTGTTGATAGATCGTTTTAGGATGATATCTGATGACAAATGTTGTCATAAGATACTACTGTACATGATAATAATAATAATAATAATAATAATAATAATAATAATAATAATAATAATAATAATAATAATAATAATAATAATTCCATACTTATATAGCGCATTCCTCAAAAAGCCTCAATGCGCTCTACAAAAAGAAAACAATCAGTAAATAAATTTTGACTTAAATTACGGTACTTAAACTAAAACAGTTCCGAAAAAGCATTTGCGCTATCGGTATAAGTATCCAGAACAGGGCTCCATCCACCGACGTCGAAAGCAACGTCGCTGTTACACCCGGGTGCGCGCAGGCACCCGGGTGATGCATGGTCATCAGATAAGATTAAATTTCATATCAATAATACACCTTGTCTTTCCATATTGTAGGCCTATATATTGTAGAAATCTAAATATACTCTATATGAATAATAATTATTATTATTATAATTAAACAAACAATGTAAACAATCACATTACCTCACCAACTGCCAATTTTGAACTGATTTGTTGTACATGATGTAGTTTAACATCGAGATAATAATAACATTATTGATACCCCGGCCGGCACGCCAACATTTCCTACCGGCACTGATAGGTGCCGACCGGCACTGTTTTTTTTTTAATGATTTTGTATACTTTAGAAAAAATGTAACGAGGAACTACCATGACATTTCAAGTATATTGTGATTTTTAAGCCAATGTTACGATACGATCTTTATCTATTCGAAAAAAAACTTAAAGCGTCAGATCTTAGCATAGTCCCGATCGTCCCAAGGTCACGGCTTACGATCGCAAATACGATCATTAGCATGCATGGTCTAGATATGCCTACATTATGTACTACCGGGTCTCTATAATGCCTAATTGTTTAAGCTGTCGTTGAATTTTGGTAAAAAATATTAGAGGGAAGAGAGAAAAAGAAAATGATATATCCCCAATCGTTGCTTTTTATCTTATAAATAAAAAACATACCGGTACTGGATAAACCGTCCTAGCGATTGCTTAGGAAGGGGGTGGGGTGTGTTCGAATCGACTATATATTTTGAGGAAGCATTTTGTTAATGGAAAATTTTTATTATAAAATAACTTGTTTCTGTTTTCTTTCTGATTATGTTTGCTTTTATATTAAATTGAAGGTTGAGTAAATATAACACCAAAATCACCTGCAATAAAACCAGCAACAGCAACAAAACTATCACCGGCAACAGAATTATCACATGCACCAGCAACATTAACATCAATGTACCAGCAACAGAAACTGCACTCGCATCAACAGTTACAGCACTATCACAAAATCAGCAGAATCAGCACGTGAACCAGCATCATAAACAAATCTCACTCTGCTCCATGTGAGCGTCAGACGGCTTTATTTGCCAGAAAGCGATCACAGCAAATGCTTTCGTAAAACCTGAAAGACTGCCTTCAACAACCACAACCACAGACTTTCACTCTCGACGAACCTATCTGCAAGTTATGCAGTGAATGGGCACAAACAAAGTGATGGATAATAAATCTGCACCTTACACACTAATCTTAATAATCCGATGCAACTATACAATGAAAGGAGAAAAACATGGTCTGGAATTAATGCACTACATCGACTTGTGGATATTGCCAAGTGTGACAACATAACAATTTGTACAGTTTCAGACGACGACAAAATTGAATATTGACACTAAAACAGCATTCTAATAAACATCCGTGGGTTTTTATGGTTCGACAAACAAGTACCGGTAACCACTTTTCGTTTTGAACAGTAGCTTAATTTAATTTATTGCTCCATAATTTATTATTCTATTTTTCCCTGGTGTCATTATTTCTTCTGAGACTGTGATCCTGTGGAGATATGTTCCTGGAGGGCTATTCCCTAAGATACAGGAGAATGACACACCATCCTAGTCTAGTTACCATTCGTATCTGTCAGTTTTATTTGCTTTGTTCCATCAGGGAACAGCGAAATTACGTTCCATTCTGTTCCCTGCCCTTCCATATGTGTATTATTCGCTATTTGTTGTATTAAACACAAAAACACGGCTCCAAAAGAAAAGTGCTTGACATCTGTTAGAGGAAATTTACTTCAGGTTCCTGAGATTTTTTGTTAACCTTTCATGAAATTTTTGGATGTTTTGAATTTTTTCTATCATGAAGTGAACAAATATGCTGCTATGGCCTTATACCCCTGGTTCTTAATAGGCGGTCCCCGAGGGGCCAAATTTGGCCCGCGAGGCGATTAAAGTTCGATGAATACATTTTCAATAAGTAAAAAGTAAAACAAAAATGCCACCAATGATTAATGTCCACATAGGCCATAAATAATTAATAGCGCCAAAAATCGATCACTTGGTACTTTCCGTGGTCTACTCACTCAGATCTAACATTAAACCCTGTAAACTGCAAAGGTTAGTATTAATTATTATTAGCGCTGCTAAATTTAACATAATAGCCCAGAGGAAGTAAAAACTTTATCATAGACATATTTAAATTTTAAGGATTCCAGAGTCACCTGATGCCTGATTCATGACACCTGGTAGAAGAAGTCCGTTATTATAAATAATAGAGGTAAAACATCTATTTGGTTTTATCGTCAATAGCATTCCTAAGTGTAGTTATTTTACATGATAATATTCAGCCAACAGTGAACCAAAAAAAAATTGCTTATAAAAAAAACATTTCGATTGTCTTGCAAATAATTAAAGTCATTAAGAACTCTATGCCGCCAAATTCTGTCTCTGTGTTTTGATCTGATCATTGTGTTTCCCGCAGCAGCCTTTTTTTCAAGTCATACATATTAACATCGTCCTGGCTTTTGTGCTGCCAAGTTCCATTTCTGTGTTTTGTTCTGTTCACTGCAGTGATTCGTTAATAGCATTACTTCACAGTTAATACAACGTTGGTGTATTAAGACAGTGCTCATTAAAATACATTTCCTACATGATGCGTACATTGTACTTGCGGGAAACTTTTTGTATTTTGACTGACGACTATGACTGATGACGCGTCCACACAGAAATTTTCCGCGAAACTATTTTGGGACATAACCGCTGGTTTAGGCATAGTACAAAAATAACACGAACTTCAAATAGAATAGACCTATCTTAGCGGAAAGAGTTTTACCCAGATATATAACGATTGTTTTCAACTCGGCTGAGATTATCTTTGACCCGTCAGATCAACTCTAAAAATGACTTGGCACTTCGAACAAATTATTTAAGAACCAGGGCCCTAGACAGCGGCGTAACTAGTTTCCGAGGGGGGTTCGAGTGTCAGTCGGGTCATAGCCGAGACCGATCAGACTAACAAAGCTTTATATATACAGTTAACCAAATATGTCTCTTTACTGAAGTAATCTATAGAAAAACCATCCCCCGCAAAACCATCCCTATATTTCTGAATCTAGATCAATTTATGAAAGCGAATTATTTACAATGTATTACCTATTTTACTGAAGTAATCCATAGTACACTGCATATATATATATATATATAATATTTATATATATAATTGTATATATAATTATATATATAATATATATATATATATATATAATTATATATATATCGTACATTTACTAACTTGTGATTTGTTATTAGCTAATGGTTCACAGCTGAACGAAAAGAGATCTCCATAACTAACTTGGTCGCCGGGGGTGAGGGTGTGTTGTAATGAGGGATATTTTTTAGAGTATGACCTTAAATGGCATCCTATTCTTACCGGTATTGCTCAAGAAAACATTAGGCCTAGATATTGACGAAAATGATAGTAGAGGCCTATCGCTCCGGTACATAGAGCTACGAGTGGGCTCAGAACTGGACATAGTATAGAAGGTAATAGCATGACTCAAAATAATGACCAAGTCACAATTCGTAGGCCTGTTTTAATTCATGCGAATAAGGAAAATGTATGTCTATTTCAAAGAAATGATAAATTATTCAAAATTTAATTTATAACCAATGCCTATATATAAATTAAGTTTCTAATTTCGAATTAGTGCAAGGAACACAAATACATAATACAATGAATGACTGTGTAAATGACTGTGTATATTTACACAAGCACTAGGGTATTATCAAATATTAGCAATATGCAATGAAATAAAACACCTGTTAAGAATACACAGCCTGCAATATGCTATGCATGCATTATATTTGAAAATAGGCCTACAGATTTATGAATACCGTAAGATATCAAACAAACTACATTAGTACAATTTCAATTTCACTTTCTTGACAAATTCTGCCTGAAGCAAAATTAATTATTTATCTTAGAGGGGTTCCGGCCCGTTGCCACCCGGGCCCGTTACCACCCAGTCTTTTGCCAACCGGCCCATTGCTAGCCGGCTTTTAGCCACCCAGCCTTTTGCCACCCTAGGCCCGTTGCCACCCAGGCCTTTTGCCACCCGGCCTTTTGGGTGAACCTCCATGGACAGATCGCCATCAGGTGATAAAGACATATAGGCCTACCTAATAGAGCACTAATATTCTAAACAAACACAAGCGTGTTTTTTTTTTTTTTTTTTTTTTTTGTTGTTATTGTTAATATATAACATTAAAAATCAGTGTCATGCGAACATTGTTAATGCATTCATATAATTCATAGGTATCACTATATATTTATTTTTAAAACGCAATAGAAATCAGAAAAAGTGGTCCGGCCGAAGCCGGTGAGGTTCCGACGGCCCTATAATCTGCCAAACAATCTGGCTAGCTAATTGATCCTGTAAGATGTATATTCAACGAACAATAATAGTAAACCTAGATTTTCCTCTAAGTAATCCGTCACTATTTCTCAAGACGTTTAACGGTTTTTCGAATTTCATTGGCCATAATTTCAGGCCTACACTCAATTAAGAAACTGCTGGAAAGTAATTAATTCATGACACCTTTCTCAAACTTGTTATGTCGTGCTGCCATTATACAAATTAGTATTTAAATTAAATTCGTTACAACGGATTCTTTATTAAACTGCCGTTACAATAATATTTAAATCTAGTAAATATTATCAAATACAAATCTTACTGTATATCATTATTTCCACTTACATTTCGTTCCTATTTAATAGTTAAAACCAAATGGGATATTACCATCACAATAACCATGTTTCAACCAATCAGAAAACAGCATTAACATAAAGGTTCAGCAATAAAACATGCCTCTCGTATAATTTTTAATCAGGCAGAAACAGTTACGTCGCGACATCATACGAACGACAGGAAAATGAACGAGCACATGAAGAAAGTTAAAGAGAACTGGCAAGATCAGATGTGGGATGCATATAACTTTCTTATGAAATGTCCGGATGTTAGTAGGTTACAGAAGATTCTTGTGCGCCACGACCTTTTCAGAATGTCTTTAGATGTACCAGGTAACACTAAAAAAAAATTAATTGTATTTAATTACTCTACTGTACCAACATGCAGGTGGTCATTATTCTCTGACAGATGAGGCAGTGCCATATCAGCCTAACCATGGTTGGGACTGAGGCAAAAAATGAAGGCTATGTGTCATCTACATTCCCAAGAAGGTCATTTCCAGGCGCGCTGTCTCTGACTTAAAAAAATATTTCTATTTATTTTTCACCGACAGATTGAACCACGTAACTCCCCGTCGGCTGTCCCGCCCATTTGGCCGACTCGCTGGCTCTATCCTGGTAACTAAGTGTTAATGTTAATCACCACCAGAAGGACCCCACTGGAAATAAGTCTTGTTCTAGACTTTCGTGGGCTGTCCTTGGTGTTTACACCGAATAAATCCAAATCGAACGATTATGGCTAGCATTTGATATCATTTTCTAGATCAGTAATATAGCGCATCCTAACACTATCTATACTGTGTGGTACGGGGGAGCTGCCGAAAACGACATCGCCCTTAATAGAATCGTCAAGACTGCAACGCGCATCATTGGTTTTGTACAAATGCCTCTGGAGATCATTTTCTGAAAAATTTACCCCTATTTTCAGCATAAGCTGTCGGGAAAATGTAATCTACATTGTATGCATGAACACACCCTCCACAGACCACACTAAATTTCGTATCTGCTATTGGGTTAACGCGTGTGATGTCATTCTACCAATTGTTAAAAACGACTTTGAATAGATATATTTGAAGAAAAATTATCACTTGTCTCTTAAAAACATGAAATTTATACAAGATAAGAAAACTTAATTTATGAGCTACACTTGACTGTTTACCCCAAAGTTCAGCGACCTATGGTTGCCGAGTCATGTAAACCGGAAGCAGTTAGTATACCCAAAATAAAAACAGCCTAATTTTAGTCTTTTCTATACAAAGTCATAAGAGGTTGTCAACTTTGAAAGAAAAATGATCACTCAATTTTTCATTGATCGTAGACATATAGATGATTATAAAGCTTAAAATATAATATCTAGTTTTATAATCTGATCACCCAGATTGTCAAATGAAACCAGTCTATTTTGTGAGAAAATGGGTTTTGTTTTGACACATTTACTGTGTCAAAACGAAACCCATTTTCTCACAAAATGTGTTTCGTTTTGACAAATTTACTGTGTGTGTGCAGTGAACCGTTTCAGTTAAAGCAGATGACGGAAAGTTTTCATTGAGAAATTTGAGTACCTATCTACGTATTCCATTACAGTTAAGCAGTATTATATTTTATGATGCCTCTTCCTCATATATAAGAATATATATAATAATATAAATAGATATTATTATAAATATATATTCTGTTGTGTGACAGGAGATATAGTGGAATGTGGTGTATTCAAAGGGACGGGGCTGATGCAGCTCTTAAAGATGCGCCAAATCCATATTCCATCTTCAATGAAAAAGGTACCATCTTCCGTATTTATTTACACACTACACATTTCAACCAATCACGTTGTACCAAGTGTCTCTGTCGAAGGTCATCACATAAACAACGATTACTTCTTAAATTATCGTCTGGATTGTTAAGGGTTATTAAACGTAAAGCAGCTAAAAGATGCAGTCGTTTTAAAGAAGAATATTAAGTAATCCAATTCAGCCAGTAGTAGTAGTAGTATACACGTATAATTGTTTATATTATTGACCTTTGACACAGAAATCTTGGACACAGAAATGCGCACTTAAAAGCACGACTCATAAATTTATAGCAGCTTTCGATTTACGCGACGACGTGACCCTGAATGGATTCACTTATCCGCGACTGTCATGTGTTCTTTGTTACCTCGTCGATTCGGGCCAACATGCGTCTTAGAATTCAGACGTTCTCACGATCGCATGCGCACACCACTCTAAGTGTCGTCAATTTTCATTGGTCTTGCCGTCGTTGTGCAATCGAAAGCTCTTTATTATTTCAATAAATATCATATGGAATGCATCCACACTTTTTTCATCATAATTCTATATTTTATATACATATATTTATTCTTTGAAACCTAATCAGTTCAAAGCATTATTATAAAACAGTTTCTCTTTTTTTCTGCTTTGTTAAACTCCTTGATTATTATTGTTTTAATGTTTTTATTATTCGATATCTAGACTGTAAAAGTTTATTAATATCTATAAATTTATATATTTATTGTTATGTATTGTTACTTAGGGAGTATGGAATCTTAACTTTTGTTACAGTGATTTAGTTTTTGGTTCCTCCTACTCCCTGAGTTGACTGTATGTGTTTGTTGTTGTATTGTTTATGGCAATAAAGAATAAGAATAAGAACAGTGTCAATCAACATACACAAAGCAACTAGGCCTAAAATGTGTCACCTGTGTATTGCCTAAATATTATTTTCTGTACATTTTATTTGAGATTACTCATGGAGAAACAACTAAAGAAATTAGATTGTTTATAATAATAATACAACATCTATAATCTACAGGTCTTTAAGACCAATTATATATTTTTAATGGTTGTTAACGGTACAATAAGTGAACCTGTACATTAAGCCTAAACGCAACTTAAATATGTTATATATAATTATGACAATTTGCATACGCAGTAAAGAGTTTTGACGTATTTGATGGATTGCTGAATCTATAAAAAAAATTAACGGTCAATTGATTGATGATATTTTTTGTATTGGTGTCTAAAATAAAAGTATATATAAGTATTATATAATATCATCTGATTAATAAATTCCCCTGTAGATTATTGGATTTGATCTGTTTCGAGAGCAGCCAAAACTTACAGGAGACGACGATAGGCAGATGACGAAATTTTTCAGTGAAAGTTCTTTCACAGGTATTGACCCGGATACAATAATGCACGAGGCATCCCTGGTATGTAATAATGATGTGACAAGCTGTATCGAACTGGTGCCTGGGGATGTGTGCATATCCTGCAAACACGTATGTATTCTATATTTTGTGTCTTCATTTTTGATAAGAATTCGAAATCTGGAAAGACCAGCTTTTCTTTTAAAATGTGTTATTTTCTAATGAGCTACATCTTAAAATTGCCTATTGCCAAAATAATGATAAATAGTAAAATATTATTTGTACGTCTGATTGGCAAAGAATTATTTCTTATTTTTTATATTGAAGGATTTCATAAAATATAAACAAGCTAGGCCTATTCAAATATTACATTTTGAAATCTTATTAGCTCAAATTACAATAGTGTGTATGCAGCATAATAATACTAGGTGCCTGTAGTTTTATTTTACCACAACCGAATACAGTATCTGAAGCGAACAAAGTGATAACGTGCTGTTAATAATTTCAGTTAGTAATAATAGTAATTTTGATAGGCCTATTGATCGTCTTATATACCGCATAATAAAATGTAAAGGAACCATAAAAATCATATACCCTGATAAGCAATTTTGTTTATATTTTAGTATATTTATTATCTTTATTCCACCGAACTGTAGCTGTTAGTGAACGTGTACCGTATATAAGCGCGTATAAGTCTACCCACTTTGCACTTAAAACGACCCCTGATTGAGAAGAGTTTTGGACGATCTTTGTGTCGGGCGTATAAGACAACCCCAGTTTTATCGTAGGAATATCCACTTTTTGCTGCCCTTTATGGTCTTGATATAATACTGCGTCTGGCTGGCTAAAAACAGAGTCAAATGTATGGCTAATCTTGAAAATACACTGGTCTCCCTCCACATTCATTACACTGTTTAGTTCTTGGCGACATTCGAAACTAATTGTACTGTTAGTCACAATTTCGATTTTACTTGTAATTATTACATTGTTATATAGAGTAATAATAATATTGAACAATGCATATCATTCTGATTGAGTAAAGTAATAATATTATATATTATAATAACAATATAATTAATAGTTTCAAGTATGGTTTCTAATTTATATCATTCGTCAGTATGCTGATTCTAAACCAGGTTTTAGAATTTCTTTACTCTACATGGACTTAGACGTGGAAGAAGCAACACTGAGGGCGTTAGAAGCACTTTGGCCAAGAGTGGTGCGCGGTGGGGTTGTTGTTTTTGACGAATATGCAGTTGCAAAGTAGGTTATAATTCTGAATATTATTTGAATTAGAATTGGCAAATAATAATATATTAGGTTTGCGCAATTTGAAAACTATACGATATTCAAAGGGCTTGTCATCACGACTATGCCACTTGCACTGCTCTGGGTGTTACTGGTCCCCAAGAGCCTAGCCAAAGTTTCCAATTCCAAATAGGGCCGATTTGAAATTGGACAAGATAGGAAAATTTAATCATTTAATTTAAACACGTGAAAACAAGATAATCAACATGTTTTGTGGATTTTTTTTCAGATGGTCTGAAAGCAATGCCGTGGATGAATTTTTAAAGAATAAGCCAGAACAAAAGATGAGAACGATTCAGTGGTCAAAATCTCCTACTGCCTATATCATTAAACAATGACAACTTAAAACTGCTTTTTATGAAGCAAAAGCAGATATACAATATTAAAGAGAATAAATTAATAAATAAGATAAGTTAGATGTAGATAGACCTACTTATTTAAAACCTCACAAAACAGAATGGAATCACAAATTTACAGACATGAATCAGAAACTAGCCAGCGAGCCGTCCGGTCGTCTTTTCAATGGCCAACAATATTTAGGACGGCCACTTCTGCCGTGACGGCTTTGCCTAATCAGCTCGGCCTAGCTTCATTGGGCCTGGTCTAACTGTAGCAAATTCGTTATATTCTTAAAATCTATCGAATGTTACATTACGTAGGATAGTCAAGTTAAGCAAGAATATGGCACCTAGATTGCCAGGAGATCTCGCACCGTTTCATACTTTGCAAATTATTTTAATTGCGTTTTAATTTGACAATTAAAAGTTCAATAAAATTCATCGAAAATACTTCACTCTTAAACTCTTCCCGAAAAGAAGAAGTTATAATAATCATCGCTTTTTTTTTCTAATAAAGTGTGGGTTATGCTAGTAGAATATTTTCTGTGTATTACAGATAAAATAAATGCAATTGCCATATCATTTTTTATGTATATGATTGTAATTCAGATAAGACATTCCCTACCACCACAAACTCCCTCGCCAACTTTAGAAAATTACAGATTTGAATCAAAACGAACGAGTTGGTTTCAAAAATCCAGGCACTGTGTCTTTCTACAGTACAATATAATGCAATTCATTGGAAAAGCTTTAAATTGGACTTTTAAAAGAAGTTGTATGCATAAATACTAATATTTTGCGAATCTTGGGATTATTATTGCAAACTTGGGATTTTTTAGACTGAATCTTGGGAATTTACTGCCCACAACCGATGCACGTGGCTCTGCAAATACAATACTAGAGATTCAGTTCCCCGACATAATATTGCTGGTGTTTGTAACTCTTTGGTTTTAATTAATTTATGAAATACCGTAAAGAAGATTTGTAGTTAACCTCACAAGTTAAATTTTATTAGTCAACAAAACACAGTAGGTCTAGGCCCATTATCGATTTGGAGAATTTACACAGGCTAAGGTGAGAGATGAAGATGCATCTTCATAGCCTGGATTCTAGAAACATTTTTTGTAAGTAACCGTTTCGTAGCCGTGCGCAATCTATGTCTATATTGAAATATCTTTGTGATAGCTAATTCAGCACTATTCCTTTGAAGACAAAATTCCAACATTTAAGCGCCTTTTTATGCCTTTGAAGATCATTATTTTTTTATTTTTTTTTTCTTACGTTTGGGAGGGGCGTGGCCCACACATCGGTTTAGGGCCACTTCTAGTGGTTTCCATTTTGGACGGCCTATTTCGTTTTTCTGATTAAACCGAAGTAAATTAATATTACTGTACGTGCTGTACACTGTCGATTATCTCTATAATGTGATTATGTGGCGTGTACGGTACTCTCGCACACACTTGGGGGACTAACTCAAAATAAGAGACAACTCGCCTGTCATTTCCAACAATACTAACACCTTTATTGAGTTTGAACGTACTATAACTCTGTGTACAATTTAACTCTGTAAACACTTTAACGAGCGCTCATAGCACACTCGTCCGTCTTCCTTCTCCGCGGAACTCAATCTAGAGAGGGCGCTGCTCATACAAATAATCCATAGGAATTCTAAAATAATCTAGAGTTCCTATTACAGGATTAACGAAAAGTTGCTATTATTAGAAATCCAATTCGATTTCCGGTTATATTGAATCTGCATCTCAGATAACCCGAAGATCTCAAAAATGTGCTGCGAATTGATTTTATTATTGACCTGTATTGAATGACTAGTAAGGCTTTTCGACTACGTTTGCTCTTACCCTTGAACTTGTGTATCCAGAATAGGTTGGTCAAAATAAAAAATATAAGATATATATATATATATATATATAATATAGGCTATATATATATATGTATATATATATATATATGTATATATATATAAACTCCAAATAAAATATAATTATACATGCCTTATTGTAATTCAATATTTCGTCCTTTAATTAGATCATCGGAAATAGAAGTCCATATTATTCAATATATATTTTTTCAAAATAAGGAAGAAATAACTGATACAAACAAGGTAATCGACTCACAATAATTCAACACCACCCCTCCCCTCTACCCCAACACACACACACACCCACACTCACTTGAATACAATTAGTGTTGACAATTAGGGCCTATTCTGTCGGATTGAGTTGAACAATTCTATATGCAACACCAAAGCTGGTTTTGTAAATACTGTACGTTTCTTTGCTCATTTCTTCTTCTTTTTCATCTTCTTCGACATCTTTGCTTTCCTTGTACAGCACAAACAAGCGATATATAAGCAAAGCAAGTACCATTAAATTTTTACAAGTAAAGAAAATACTAGTGTAGCTGACAACATTAAAGAAAACTATAAGTATAATGCGTACGATAAAGAAAGGTCCATCCTGTAGGATAAGTGTTACCATGATAGCCCAGGAATCCGACTCCATACACTTAAGAATGCCAATGTCTTCAATGTCCTCTATCTCCGGTGTCTCCTGGCCGTTGTTGTTTAACGTTGACGTCTTCACAATATCTTTTATCGCCATCGATGCAAACTTTGGAAAGCGTTTGAAGAGCGACCTCTTTGGTTTGTGTTTAACGTCGGTTCTCCCGAAGTTATCCATGGCCAGTCGAGCCTTACGTGCCCTAGTCACCGTCACTGCAAGGGTGAATTGTATTAGACTCCACGACCAGACAAAAAGCACAATGCAAATAAGACTTCTATTATTTTTTACATTTTCTTCCTTCAGTACGTCCATGAATTCTATTATATCAGCGGCTGTACCAATGTAGACCAAAAGTAACTGCGAAAGTTGATCACGTGTTACATCACCCTTCGGTAATATCCAACGACCAAGTATGAGGACCAACAACAGCAGTTGTTCCGTAATGATGAGCCACAGGTCATCTGACTCAGACTGAACGTTCTGTATAATTTTAGTTAAAATAAAGCAGGATTTAGAAAAAGTAAAATAAAATGCTAGTGCATGCAAATACAGCCCTATCCTATGGGTTCTTTTTTTTTGTTTTTTTGTTAGAATCAAGAGAATTCAGATTAAATCAATCTAATATACAAACAGAACCTGTTGCTTAATGTCCCATCCTAGGACGAGTTAGCGAGGCAGCAACAATGGTCTGTAACCACTTCTATTTTAATTTTACCAACACTCATCTGCATGAATCAAGCTTAAAATTAACCAATCAGTACAGTGCCACGAAAACAGCGCACTGTCCTATCCCTCAATATACGTTACCCCACAAACATGTTGTCTTGCAAACTAACGCATGTGTTTCCGTATGTTAATTTTGTTGGACATTAGCAACTATATATATGGGGCGCAACGGCTATTATCATTTGGTGCTTCTATCTGATACGCACCGTAATAGACCTTTCCGGAGTGTCAATCAAACAACTGACTAATCAGAACATCGCTAGGAATACGCGCGCGTCTCACAAACACACGTGTTGTCCCACAAACGCACGTGTTTGCGTATGTTTCATAGAGATATAATAAGAATACTAGAGCGCTAACAGCAATGTATTCGATGTTCGAAATACGCAGAGCTGTGTGTGTGTACCATCCAAGAGGGCTGCCATAGATTCAGCCAATCAAATTTCCCCTGAGCGCTATCATTTTCAATTGCGCCCTCAATTTACACAGAAAGTTCAGTACAGCTAGTTACCCGTATTTTGAAACTCGAGTGTTGCGGTGTATGAGTGTAATGTACATGATTTCAATTCTTTTTAATATTTGAATAAGACGCTCTACTTGGCCTCTTTTTGGCTACGACAGTTTAATAATTTGTCATTATCAATACTAATTATCATTAATGAAATAATATTCAGTCAGAGGGCTTATTTATGGTAATAATATGTATACTAAGCCTGAAGGTGGCGCTTTCCTACGGCAGCCATCTTGGATGGTACACATACACAACTCTGCATTGCTACGCCATCTTGTCAGCACTCTAGTTGTTTAATAGCTCTATGGTATGTTTTAACACTGTCGCCTTATGGGACCTTAGCAACAATATCCAAGGGGCGGGGCTTAGCGGAAATGTCCATTCTTCGGTACTGTAGTTTCCTATCAGACCGCACATCACATTACATATGCAAGCATTCACAATCCTCAATATTCGTATGATCGCAATTACCGTTCGCAATTGTATTTATGAATTTCAACTGAATGTCATTTACTATAGCCTAGTGAAGTAACTTACATTAACTGAACTGCTGCGCATGTTAAATATGTCAAGCTCCAGTATCCAGACAACGGGAACCATGCAGCAGAGATAGAAAAATACACTTGGACAAAACCTATGATCAATAAAAAAAATAATATTGAACAGGCTCAAATAATTTAATACTACTGTACATGAAATGGTAAATTATTAGGTCTATATGAAAAAAGTATGTACATTACTTTGTAGAAGGGATATGTTTGTGCGAGTAGAGGCACGCATACAAGTCTTAGAACATCTGCAAATACCGAAAAATACATAAACTGCCATAGAACAGATAATAAACAAGACCAACAAAAAAAAAATCCCAAAAACAAAACAAAACAAACATACCATTTCCATTCTTTTCCTTCCCGTTTCACGATGGTAAATGCGGTTTCAAAGCCTAGCGCCACCAACGACACACATATAGCAAAATAGGTTAAGTTGTCGAGGGTATTAACAGCATAGAAGATTGAGACAAGAGCATGTGTTGCGAACATCGATCGAGTAAAGATTGCTTTTAAAATAGATATCCTTGCCATTGTTGCACGTCGTAGAAAATCTAAATAATTAATGATCGAAAATGTTATTAATTTATCATTATTAGGTTGGAAAATATCAATCATCATATGGCCTGCTAATTGAGTAAGGACAAAATGTTTGTTACGATTTACCGTCCAGACGCCTGCACAAATATGGAAGATAGCATCGTTCTTTTAGGCGTCTTACCATTAAGAGCATTTTGAGTTCCTATTAATTTCAATTAAAATACAGTATTATAAAATAACAATTTTACTCTACCGTAACACAAAATATTAAACGAGGAGTTGTCACGCTACAACTCATTAGTTGCAGTATAAATAGTAGAAGGTAACAGAGTAATATTATTCACGGTAATTGAACACGACCGCTCAGTGAAAGGCGCATTTTTCATTAAATAATGAAATATAAAAAGTTACCATGTTAACCTCAAATGTTAACACGTAAGCAGGCGCGGATCCGGTAGTGGGAAAGCCCACCCCGTTTTGTCCCTAAATTTTAAAATTTCAGTGCATAACAATGTTATGTATTGAAATTAGCGCTACTCGCTTATCTATTCTAAATATGTTGTGCCACCCCCCCCCCCCCCACCCCGCTTTGCGCCCCCCCCCCCCCCCCAACCCGTTTGAAATTCTTGATCCACCCCTGCCCAAGTCAATGTTAACGAATAAGGCGAATAAAGAATGGCTACATCTCACCTCACTTTAGCACGTATATAATCCAGTTTTTACTAAAGGTTTATCGAACTTATTGTGTCAACATAATCAAAAATGATCCTTGGCTCATAATAGTTCTTCATTTAAAAGGTAATGTGTCTTTTATTTGCAAAACTATAAAATTATGTTAAAGACATAGCAATATTCAATATTGTGCTACTCACAGCCTGATCCCGCTTTTACGATTTTTTTAAATAGGCCATTCCTGTTTCGGTAGGCCTGCAGAAATAATAGTCCTTATCATTATCACTGTCGGCATCTTTGTCGCCATCAAAGTTGTCATCATCATCATCATCTATTCTTCATCCACGTCGTCGTCGCCGCCACCACAACCGCCGCCACCACCATCACAAAAAAGCTCGCGCCCTTAGATTTGCTTATACTAACAAAAAATGCTCAGAGTAGTTAAACATCACCTTATATTGACAGCTAAATCCTCACTATATCATCAAGCCCCAACTTAAATTTCGCCCTCCTACCATCCCCATACTCCTATAGATACGTACTGCTAGGTAGGCTTAGTTTACAAGCTTCTTCATAATTTACTGTTAAAACACGACAGAGGCCTAGTTATGATAGCGTGAAAAACGTACACTCACCGATTTTTTAACGAAAAACGGAACAGGCACAAGTGCACTGTGCTACGGAACCAAAGATTTATTATTAACAATATGCACAAAGACTGTTTCGTTTGCAACACCTCAAGGGAATACCTATTTTTGTTACCAGGTCTCGGGCCTGGTTTCTGCGACTAAGCAAAAACAAATTGTGCTACAATACATTGCACATTGCACGAAGGAATAACGTGACAAACATGAGCATCACATAACAACATACCTTTATAAAAATGCCTGTTTCTTCTATGGAACGCCTAGTCTCTCACTTTATTGTTTTAACATCAGCCTGTCTATCGGAGGTAAAACTGAATTCGGCGTCACCTTTCCCAGCAACAAGTTACGGCGCGGTGTAGTATCTCAATTTGCTGCGCTTGCTCAAACTTCAAAATCAAGTGTCTTCGCTCGGTCACGCCCCATTGCGCACACATATCAATAACATGTTGCAAGTAGGAGAACTCAAAACTAAGCTTATTACTAATTAGACAATGATGAATAAAAAGTGTAGCTGCGTTAGTCTGTTATAGAACAATATAAAGTAAATGACAGCAGCCCTTTTGAGACTAACAATATAGAATTTATTCTCCAGCTTTCGTCCACACAGTGGACTTCATCAGGAGACTGTACAAATGGGATAAGAAACTATAATATACAACTGAGATAATGGGGGGGGGGGGTCTTAGGTCTTACAACAACAAAGTATGCAAATATTGGTGTACAAAGCATTCTACTAGTCTGCCGAAATAAGCAATCTTATAAATAGTATTGAAAGAACAAGAGATGAATGAAAAAACTGTAGAAAATAGCGTACACTATATGTCAAAGTCAATACTATCCAGAGGATAAAATGAGGGAAAAAAGAAGCGAATGATGAGAAATAATTATTGACGGTAATGTGCAAGGAATCCTCGATCAATGATAAGGCCTAGTTGTGTACAGTAATTATTTTCTGTTCTGATATTTCTCGTCTAAACATTTTTGAAAAAATTCTTTCTCAACTACTTGTACTTTCATATTATTTACTGAGTAATTAGGCATACAATGTGTTTGATTATTAGGTGTAAGTCATTAGTGTCAATAATGTTTGCTTACGTCATCAAGCAGTCAATGATGTTTTAATTCGCTGTTTACGCATCCGTCCACCCTTTCACCATCCCATACCCACTTTTTGCTTTCAAAAAGTGAAAAAAATTGTACTTTTTGGTCACACACCTTTTGATTGTACCCATAAAGTACAAAAAAATGAATAATTTACTAATATTGACGAGCAAAATCTTTCTTTGAAAGATGCATAATATACCCAAAGCATAGGGGTGCGGGTGGTTTACAAAAATGAAAATGACAAAAAAATAATTATTCCACCGACGATCCCAACCATGGCATATCACTCTACTTCAGTCGTTGGTCTACCTTTCTCTGCACTAAACACAATTGCTGTACATTCAATGGGGAACCGGAAGGGGTTATTGTTACCGTTGTAAGGCATACGATTCGTCACCATATTGTCAATCAATACTACAGGTAGATTGTGTCTATTTTGTTTAGAAACTTACCGGTACTTCGTAATTAAGACCCTTTACGTAAGCTCATGCCACATAAATTTGAATGTTGCCTTTAGTGGCGGTGGTACTAGATTACCACACGGGTCACATTGTTGTCTTAGACAACAGTACGTCGTTTTCGCACACCTCTGGCATAAAACATAATGACAAAATGGGTAATAATAATGGATAAAGAGGGATATAGGAAGAAAGAGACTTAGCCTTGGACGTTAGGAGGGCTATTAGCTCTATCCTCTACAGTATGCAGATTTCCGCCCCTTGGATATAGTTTGTGGGACCAAGCGCATATATCTGGCCCTGTTCTTATTTGACGGTTAAGTTCGATTGGTATGCCGGAAAGGTCCATAGTTTCTGTATGTTTTTGGAATGTTATTCCAACTGAAATCAGGATCGTGCAACAAATTGATCAAATTAAAGTTCAAATTCAATTAATTATCAAACAACAAAGTAAAGTAAATTTAAATGCAATTTAATGAATTTCCAAGTTCTAATTCAAATTATTATCATTTACAAGGAAAATAAAAAAGTACAATTTTATAAAAATAAAAGAACATAGGATCGTGCAACAATTTAATCAAATTCAAGTTCTCTTCTTAGTAATTAAATACAAAGTAAATGAAATTTAAATGAATTTTAATGATTTTTCAAGTTCAGATTTAATTTATCAAATACAAAGAACATGAATAATAAATTTCAAGGTCTATGTGAAATAAAGAATAAAAAACTAAAATTAAAATTTAAGTACAATTTAATAAAAGTCAAAGTTCAACATAGGATAGTGCAACAATTTAATCAAATTCAAGTTCTCTTATTTATTAAATACAAAGTAAATGAAATTTAAATGAATTTAAATGAAGTTTAGATTCAATTAATTATCAAATACAAAGAACGTGAATACATTTCAACATAGGCCTATTTTAAATAAAAAAAATTAAAAATTTAAATACTCTAATAGTAAAATAGTAGTGGGTTCAATGCAACTTATCATATAATACAAAGAAAATAAAATATGTTTTAAAGGGTTAAAATGGCATAAAAAAAATAATGGAGGAAAGCTATTCCGTTGTCATCAGTACATTCGTCAGGCGTAAAATGGCATTTTTGTTGTAATATTGTTGTAATAATATTATTTTCAATTATTTGTTTATTATTTATACGACAGTATTAGCAATGCATTACGTTAGCATATCACCCTGGTATTGTGATTAATCATTAATTTCATAATACGTATCTTCGCTGGCTTAGTAACTCTGACAATAACACGTGATCTTTTTTCTCGTATGATTATAGAAGAGTGAATATAATACGTGTACAGTATTCTATATTTTTCATAACAAATAGCCCTATATAGACGAATTGATTCACAATCGTCTTTATGTTGTCAAACTTAGTACAAACCTGACGTCATTAATTATTAATTTAATTCCTTGTGGCGAAACAGTTAAATCTAAAATAATAATATTGCGTGCAGTACATTCGTGACGCGTACAATGGCATTTTCACATTTGAAATTTCACCGTGTGTATTTTGCATATTTATTTTCTGTGCGTGCTAAAGGGTGAGGATCTAAGAGTAATTTTGAGCGGACAGACATGTTTAACATGTAAACAACATAGCTCTGTTACTGTGACACAGGTTTCAAACTAATTGGCATCAATATCGTCAGATGATGAAATTATGAAATTTCTCATAACAGTGAAATGTAGTTTATCTGATACGGAGATCCTATAATCCTTAAACTTATACAAATTTCAAAAACATAATAATTTGTATTGAATAAATCAAATCATAAGACGTTAGCGAGAATTAGAATAAAAACATTTCATGATAATTATCCATTCTCACAAGTCGGGCACAAACTCTGTTGACCGGCGAATCCTTCTCCGTCTCTGAGCGTTTGACGACGCGGGGCTGTCTGACGATTGTCGGTGGCAGTGAGCGTTCACCATTGAATCGCGTTGGCCAACACCGTCTGAGCAACGTGTAGAAACCACCTTTCACTATGAAGCCTAGTTTATACTAAATGATGTTGTTCCTTGTACAGTATCTTTAATATCATTCTGCAAATGATTTGCTATGTTAGCTACATAATAATTACTCATCCGTGTTAATTTTATGTCATTTTCAGCTGTTGCTATACAAGAAAGTGTCGGATACAAAGGGCAACAACATTATAACAGCACACGCAGGCCTAAATTGTTTCAATGTGATTTAATAGTTCCCAAATAAAAGTTTGGTGTCTTTTTTTCTCGCTTTTTAGGTGCAATATCTTTCTTCGTGAAATTAGCCATTGGCTATGTAAATTTATTTTGTTTTGTTTATTTTCTGCCTACTCTTTGTAAATGATAACCTACTGATGTAGTGGTGGTGCCAGAGGGAAAGCAATTGTCACTCATCGGAAAAGAATGGTTCCCCCCCATCCCGAAGTCCTCCAACGCTGAGGTCGTCGAACAAAATTTTAATTTCAGATCCAAGTTATTGTGGTTGTCAATACATATGTTCTAATTGCACAATCCTGAAGCATTGTGAATCATAAACATTTTACCCATGAAGCCCACCTGAGATTTGATTTCAACCAAGGTTAGGCTTCCATCTGGTTCGGATCCCCTGTCGAACTTTTTGGACCCCCTGCCGGCATATTTCTGGAGCCGTCACTGCACTGGGAAGTAAGGTGAAAAGAGATTAAAACTTGTCCGAGATATTGAAGTGACATATGGCAGTACAGAATTTGTTCTGACAATTCAATTCAAATTCAAATATAATTTCTGGAAAAAAACATAAAAACGAAACACGATGCTGCCTTCCAAAGATTGCCAAACAGTTATAAAACTATCAAGTGCTCTCCTGACAGCATCATTATTTATTAAAAATCATAACTAGAAAGCAATTTTCAGTATTACTCCTACTACACATACAGATGAAGGTCAATCT